GCATTGCAGGGTTATTATAGTTACCTAAAATTTTAATAAAGCTACAGTTCTCATTTTCACTTAGTTTAACTTTTGGTCGCTTAGCGGTATGAAGCATAAAACTACAAGCTACTTGCAGAGGAACATTGTTTTGGTAATTACGTGAGATGTGCTTCAGCTCCACTATCGAGTGCAGAACTGTGGAAGATTGTGCTTAAATGAAGTGATTGAGAGCTTAAAAGGGGGAGTCTTTGCTTGCTTTTTTGTATATAATTTATTCACAATTTAAATAAAAGTTCTAGGACTGCTAATATTGTTCTTCGAGTCATTTCTGAAATGAATGTGTCAAAATACTGTAGATGTGAGGACTAAGTGTTGTAGTAATAGATCTGCAAACTAACAGACCTGCCACAGCATATGTTTAGTAGTATCTACAGTTTGATACTTGCTTGGAAAAAAAAGAAGAAAGAAAGAAGGAATGACAAGTTTGTTAGTTGCACAAAAGGTGTGGAATGAGTTACTCGCCAAAGTTAGAGGTGAGCATTAGTACAGTATGAGCAATAACAATAGCGACACCTTAGCAAGGAGCAATAATTGAACCTAATTATACTCCCCTATAAAGCTTCTTAATAGATTCATTTCTTCTATTCATGTTTTTAAAGTGATGTGCTCTGTGTAAAAGAAGTCTTTTATATGTTCCCATAATTCTCCACACTGTATATGCATTCTCAATTGAAGGCTTGAGTTCAGCCCAAATGAGTTTTAAAAAACCAATCCTTGCCTATATTGCTACAAGGTCAAAGCTCTGTTTAAAACAAAAATAAAAGCTCTGCTTTAACAGTGACCAATTGTAGCTCTAGAGGACATCCCAGTGATCTTCTTTACCCATTTATGCTTTAGCAGAAAGGATTTTTTTTAGCTACAAAAAAATAGTATTTTGACAGTCCTGCCATGATTAGAATAGCTGGGCCTGCTATTGCATTTTCCTAATTCTCGCAAAAGTTAAACGTTCACACATGTGCTCATTTTGCTCCTATACTGCTGCGTTGTTGGAAAAACATTGTTAGAAATCCCATCTTTGGGTGGCTGCAATGTAAAGTTGCAATTAAATCTTACGAGAGTTTCTACAAAAGCCTGTAAAGCTATTGTTATGACAACCAATGGGTAATTGACACATATTGTGTCTATGGACACCACTTATTTTGAGGTGAAACTAGGTTCATTTGTGAATGCAAATTGTATAGGTTTGTTGTAATATTGACCGTCATATCAGTTGTCATCTTAGAAAGTATTTTTTAATATA